CCCGCTCAGGAAGTGCCGACTGTATTCCAGGCGTTCAGTACTTCATATTTCACTTAATCTCAGACTCCTGCGACCTAACGACCCTCCCACGGTGGAGACAAGGAAAGGGGTCTTAGGGGTTTAAGTCACTTGCCAGGACTGCATACCAAAAGCATCTGGATATGAACCGGAAACGATCCCCGTCCTCAGCCTTTTCCACTTCTCAGTAAGTGAACGAGAAAGCATCCAAGGATTATTTGCTAATGGAATTTGAATGAAGAAAAAGAAGAGGTACAATGAAAGAAGATAAAGACAAGTTAGCACCTTACAGAGAAAGCAAATTGAGAAGCTTTGTTCAGAAAAAGAACAAAATAAAGGACGAGGAAAGTAAGAGTTAAACTGAAAATATCTTTGTCACTTCAGGATATTAAAAACAAACAAACAGAAGCAGCTCTTTCCAGCTCTGTCACCGAGCGGCTCCAAAGGACGGCCTCTGACCCATCAGCAGCAAGTCAACGTTCTGGTGCCCAGGTTTAGGTTAGACCTTAACAGGGCTCCTTGTGGAGCTGCCGATTCCATTCCACATCCTGGGGCAGGGAAAAATCAAGAGGGACCTGCAAACACCAGGTTTCCAGAAAGCAAAGACCGCTTCAGGAGGTCTGGGGTAGAAGAGATAAGGGACATAAAAGCCATGTTTTTTGTTTTTTTTGAAACAGTCTCACTCTTTCTGCCCAGGCTGGAGTGCAGTGGTGCGATCTCGGCTCACTACAACCTCCGCCTCCTGGGTTCAAGCGATTCTCCTGCCTCGACCTCCAGAATAGCTGGGACTACAGGCACGCGCCACCATGCCCGGTTAATTTTTTGTATCTTTAGTAGATACGGGGTTTCACCATGTTAGCCAGGATGGTCTCAATCTCCTGACCTCGTGATCTACCCGCCTCAGCCTCCCACAGTGCTGGGATTACAGGCGTGAGCCATCCGCCCGGCCCCTGTAAGAGCCATCTTAAAAGGACTACCATGCACTGTGTTGTGACAATTTGAACATCCAAAAGAGAACAGAGTTAATAATGGCGAAAGGAGACAAGCTGAGTCTGCAAAGCCCATGAATCGTCAATGAATATCAAATGAAAGGAGCACCAAGTGCAACAAGGGAAGGGGGAATATATTGGAAGTTATTTTTAATCCATTTTAGGAAGCAGCAGAGGTGGGTGTGTATGACAGCTCAGTTTCTGCCACTAATACCTTTTATAAAACAGCGTACAAATGTGTCTCTGAGGAGGATGGCTCTGAACAAGCCAACCATACAAGGAAGGAGGAAGCAAGGCTCCAAAACAGAAAGGCCTGACGTTCTGCACAGACTGCATTCAGGTGGGAGCTGGGTGATCTGTAAAATGACGGATTCACCGGAGGGCCCACGGGAGCACTGACTGCCCACACTGGGGCCCCAAATTCCTGGAAGATAAAAGCTCAATGAACACTGCTCATGATACCAGTAAGACACTGACAAACTCTGTATGTGTTCTCAAACATGTTCCAGGTGAGTGCGCCATTTGGATGGGACACTGGGTCACAAGCGCATTAGCCAAATATAAAGAATTTGTCATTTCAGGAAAAGACGCCAGGTTGAAGGTGGCCCCTCCAAAGATAATGTTCACCAGGAAACTGTGAAGATGTAAAAAGGGTCTTTGCAGGTAGAATTCATTTTCTTCTTTGTTTTGTTTTGTTTTTTTAAGACAGAGTCTCGCTCTGTCACCCAGGCTGGAGTACGGCGGCGCCCTCTCAGCTCACTGTAACCTCCGCCTCCCAGGTTCAGTGACTCCTCCTGAGCAGCTGGGAGGCATAAGCCACCATGCCCGGCTAATGTTTTGTATTTTTGGGAGAGATGGGGTTTTGCCATGTTAGCCAGGCTGGCCTCGAACTCTTGACCTCAAGTGATCCGCCTGCCTTGGCCTCCCAAAGTGCTGGGATTACAGGTGTGAGCCACCACGCTTGGCCCTGCCGGTGTAATTCACTTAAAAGTCTTGAGATTGGCCGGGCGTGGTGGCTCACGCCTATAATCCAAGCACTTTGGAGGCTAAGGTGGGTGGATCACCTGAGGTCGGGAGTTCAAGACCAGCCTGACCAAGATGGTGAAACCCCGTCTTTAAAAAAAAAAAAAAAAAAGTCAAGATGGCAACATCCTGGATCGAGGTGGGCCCTAAATCCAATGACAAGTGTCTTCAGAAGAGAAGAGCAGAAAAGGCCCACAGAGGAGAGGGCAACGTGAAGACAGAGCAGAGCCTGGAGGGATGAGGCCACAAGCCAAGGAATGCCGAGGATGGCCGGCAGCCACCAGAAACCGCAAGAGGGGCAGGGAACGGCTCTCCTTCGGAGCGTCCAGAAGGAACCAGCAGTGCCAACACCTTGACTTTGAACTTCTGACCTCCAGAACTGTGAGAGAATAAATTTGGTCTTACGCCACCAAGTTTGTGGTAATTTGTTATGGCAGCCCCAGGAATCTAACATAGCTGCTGAGATCACACTTTCTTTAATATCTGTTCAGGTTACTAGATCACTGGAAAAATATAAAATAGGTTCAGAAGTCACAAAGAAATGACTCAAACCCACAGCACTGATGCTTATGTTATGCGTTATCAGGAGTTTTGCTGTCACTGCTACAAGACCTACATGTTCTCTTTTGTATTTAAGAGAATCTAACAGATTTGGTCTGTGATGTTAAGGCAGGGCTAAGTCAATGTATTTGTAACCAAATTTAAATGTTTAAAAGAATTTAATAATAAGTTACTTGGTAGCTGTATGAGTATATATTTCAATTTACGTAGTACATGAAAAAGAGGAACGAACACTGACAATGAGTGATAAACGATATAAACAATGCCGTGATGAGTCTGTCCGAGTCTCAGACCTCACAGACCTGCCACATCCCACCTGCCCCGCGCCTCGCAGGTGATCAGCATGGGCATGCCGGGGCCCCGATGTGGCTGAACAAAACCACCTCCAGTTCCCACTCGTCCTCAGTGCTCCTCCTTCCTGCTGGCACGCAGAGCCCTCGGAGGTCCCAATTCCCCTCTGGAACCTGCTCCCAGTCAGAGCTTTCCTCCCTGTTGGTCAGGGCACCTGTATGCCAGGGTAGCCAAGGAGGCCGCAGTGGAAGAGAAGACCTGGAAGAGGCTTCCGAACCTTCTGTCCTTGAGGGGCCATGGGGCTCATGCGAAAGACAGCCTTGAAAGCAGGCCTGCCTTCCACTTGCTTCAGAAAGGGACTGAACAGGGTGCTTCTTTCTGCAGAGTTCTCTTTCTGATCTTTGTTTTTTAAAACGTTGCTGCTGCCAGTCACAGCACCCACGGCAGAAGGCAGGCTGCTAATGAACAGCTTGCTGTCAGCTACCCCTCCCAAACCATCTTCTCCTCATTTCAGACACAGAAGCAGGCACCCACCCACCTCCAGGGGAAGGTAGGGGAACAAAGCCCGGCTTTTACAGAGCACATCCAGAAGCAGGGAGACGGCATTCAGCAGAGCACTCAGGAGCCAACGCGCATCCTGGCCTCCATGCAGTTCCCATTACCATCAGCCTTACCTAAGGACAGAGAGAAGGAAGAGCTGGGTGTGTGGGGGCAGCAGTACACAGCTGCACAGTTCTGAGCTGCCTCCTCCCAGCCTGGGAGGCTGAATGGGAAATCTCACTCCCATGTCCAGCAGGTCACGCGGCAGGTGCCACAGGCCTCAGCACACAAGTAAACCAGAAGCTTGAACGGCCCCGGATTCCACTCATGCCAAAAGTCAGCTGCACCACAGTAGCCTGAGCCCATCACGGGGGTGGAATGTTAGTGAGCTGTCATGTCAGTTTCCCACCTGAGTCCGTTCCAGCTTTGTCTTAGATACGCTGACAAATATGAAATATGAAATAACATGAAAAAGAAAAACTGTCAGTCTGTACAGAATTGCTTGCCAGGCATTTTTCTTCTTAGAAAAAAAAAAACACTCAACATTGGAACCTGGTTTGATGAGAAAGAACTGAAAGCTGACAGGCGGCAGGGAACACAGTATGCCCAGGGACCATGAGGGCAGGTCTGCTGAGCGGTGCTCACCAGACGCTGTGCACGGCTCCTGGTGCCGTCCTGCACCCTGGCATGGGGTTGCCTTTGATTACCTCCCCAAGACGGGCACCCTCAATTCCGCTCAGCACCTGGCGCCAGGCCCACACCTGGGTGGAGTCACCGTGCCTGCACGTGGCTAACCTGGAGGAAATGACTGTGCCCCAGGGAGTCTCTGCTTCTCCCTTCGATCTCACAGACGTCTGTGTCAGCTAACGGCGGTGAAAAATGGGCCCAAGGAAGAGTCTGCTTATCGGAGCAGTGAGTAAGAGAAAAAGACAGAAGGCACAACTCCAGGGCTCACTTACGTTCTGGCCTGTAAAAAAAGAGGCCCAGAGCTTGGGGATGGCAGAAAAGACATACCCAGAGTGCTTGGACATTTACACAAGAGAAACTCTTGGTAATGACTTAAAAATACATCATAATGTATACGTCTTGCCATTGGCTTTGTTAGCAAATGATAATGAAAAGTTCCTGGCAGTTAGATTTCCTTTCCAATTCAGCACAGCCTCCACTACACCCCAACAATTTATCCTTCCCTCCTTCATTCAACCCTGCCTCACCACGCACACATCTAGGTGATAACAGACTCCTCAATGTTCCAAGAAGTACCTCTCTCTCTCTCTCTCTCTTTCTCTCTCTCTGTCTCACACACACACACACACACTGCTTTCTTTTAGGTCACCACCTCACAAAATAATAAAATTATTGACCGCTCTCCCCTTCAGAAGGTCAGCACTACGTGCTATTCATTCATTTAATTTGTATAGGCTCACTCACTGCATTCTGTAGTGTCAGCACTTTTTATTTTTTAAATAGAGATGCAACCTCATCATGCTGCCCAGGCTGGTCTCGAACTCCGCCCGCCTTAGCCTCCTGGAGTGCTGGGATTATAGGTTTGAGCCACCACATTTTAATTAAAATCCACACTTGGATTTTAATTAAAATGAAGGCAATCTTTGGAACGTGGTAACAGAGAGAATGATCCTGTTATTCTATGTGAGGTTTTTAAATCTCGTTTTGCTTTTACGAAAAAAGGTAAGAAAGCATAGAGCTTATTTTTTAAATTTAAAAACATGTCTCTGCATTTTCACTTATTTAAGAAGCATTTATTAGGCACCTGTTCAACACGAGGCCCTGGGATGAGGATGCCATCCATCAAGCAGACATGGACTCTGCTCCATTCATTTGCTGTATGAAGATGAAAATGATTTTCAACAATTTGTAATCTTTTAGAATTCAAGACTAGTACATATCTAAATCTTAACAAGAAAAGTCCTGGGTAATTTAAAACATGCTAGAGAGTTAAGTGCATATTTTTATAGTGTTCTGAGAATACTTATAAGATATTCCCTAGATTATGAACTGAAATCAATTTAATAGCACTTGCATTTGAAAAAGAAAGCAACACTACAATTTTTCTAAAACAAAAATTGAAAGTCTCTATTCTCTTAATTCCTATTTTGCAACATAGAAAAACTCTAAGAGATGGCCATAAAACAAAAAACCATTTTAAAACCTTCATCATGGGATACCGTTAACTAGAGTGAAAAACTCTCAAAGAAACACTCAGAGAACCATAAAATATTTAATGCTGATTAATTTCCAGATAAGAAACCGGGTCTCAATGCAGTGATATGTGATTTGCCCAAGGTCACATATTTAATCGGTGAATGATTAAGAAACGCGCCCTAACACAGGACTGAGAGTCTGCAGCCACCTGCTCTCCCTCAGAGCCACTCGGAAGAAGAAAACCTTCACCCCCCCCCAAAAAAAAAAGAAAACCTTCGCTCTAAAGCGACATTACCCAACCCACACAGGGTCCAGGTGTATCTCTCAATTCTAGTGAAACTCCACCACCAACATACATTACCGCTCTCCCCCACGAAACTGCCCTGCTGCAGTTTGAGAAGCGGATCTCTTAATAACACTTTGACTTTAAGGGAAGCGACTCCTTTTTCCTAAAACGATATGCCGTATTCACACCAACTTCAGACTTCGCCTCCCTGGCCATTACCTAGTTGCTATTTTCCACATATTCGCTGAGAAAGAGGTAAGACATCCTTCCTCAGGCATCTAATAAAAAATCTCTAGGATGCGAGTAGGCTTCTTGAAGACCAAATTCAGTGTTTTCAGGCAAATTGCTGGTAAGTACTATCTGGCCTGATACCGGAAGTAAAAGGGTATTCGCCCACGTGTTATTTGGGGAAGACGTAGAGTCAGTGTGGATTCCTAATCGTAGATGAATGGTCAAACATAACTGACAGAATATTAAGTAACAGTGAAAATTGTGTTTTTTAAGAGATTTAATGCCAGGGGAAATTGGTCAACACATAATATTTATTTTAAAAGCATTATGTCCTTAAATATGTAAATGTTGCAGAATAAAACAAATCTAGAAAAATCTCACAAAAAGTGAGTAGCGATTGCTATGTTAGTCATCTTTTTGTTTTTATTTTCAAAATCACCTAAAATCAGCATACTTTTGTGATAGAAAGAAATATTATTTTGGCTGGGAGCAGTGGCTCATGCCTGTAATCCCAGCACTTTGGGAGGCAGAAGGGGGTGGATCACCTGAGGTCAGGAGTTTGAGACCAGCCTGGCCAACAGGGTGAAACCCGTCTTTACTAGAAATACAAAAATTAGCCTGGTGTGGTGGCGTGTGCCTGTAATGCCACCTACTCGGGAGACTGAGGCAGGAAAATCGCTTGAATCTGGGAGATCGTGCAGCTGTACTCCAGCCTGGGCGACAGAGCCAGACTCCATCTCAAAAAAAAAAAGAAAATAAATATTTTATTTATTTTTCTCTTTTACTGAAACAGAGTCTCACTCAATTGCCCAGGCTGAAATGCAGAGGCACGATCACAGCTCCCTGCAGCCTTGAACTCCTGGGCTCGGGACCTGCCCACCTCAGCCTCCCGAGTAGCTAGGACTACAGGCATGCGCCACCTGGCTAATTTAAAAAATACAGTTTTTGTAGTAACGGGCATTTCCCTATGTTGCCCAGGTTGGTCTCAAACTCCTTGTCTCAAGCAATCCTCCTGCCTCTGGCCTCCCAAAGCATTGGGATTATAAGTGTGAGCCACAAAAATATTATTTTTAAAACCTAACTTATATTAAGGATCATTTGTGTTCATTGCAAGGACAGGCATGAAGAGCTGAAGAACAGGGTTGGCGCCACAGTTCCCTACACACGCCTCCTCCTTCACTCTGAACATCAGAAATGGGCCCTGGCTCTCCGCCATGTCATCACCAACGAAGCCACAGATTCTTCCTCAAACCCACAAAAAAGGAAACCAAAGTGCAGAGAGGTTCCGTGACTTCATGACAAAAAAACAGGTTTCAGAACCGGGACTGAGGTGCAAATGCAGTATCTGCGGATTGGGGACAGCAGGGGCAGGCGCCTCTGAGAATGGCCAGGGTCACCGGTGAGGGCTGAGGCGCATCCGCGCTGGGCTCCTGTGGACGCCAGGCCGGTGGCAGAAGAGCTGGGGTGAGGATGACAAGGACACGTTCGGTTTCTGTGAGATTCTGGCAGCCCCCCGGGCAGGAGAGAGACGAAGCCATCGCTGCAGAGGCAGCAGCAGAGGGCCGGCGAGCCTCCGCCTTAAGCGCACCAGGGAGAGAAAGCGGCTTGGCCGAAAACAGGGACAAAAACCCAGGGCTGACTCGTCAGAGGAGGGCTGGGGTGCCGTGTCTGTGGACGCCCCATTCCACACAAACACAGGCCGAAAGCGAAACTCGCTTGCCTACCTACCTACATGGATGCTCCTTTCACAGACCGTCCCCTGCTGTGCAGGGAGGGCCGAGGGCAGAGATCGCGTTAGTTTTGCTCCTCCTTCTGCACAGAGGGTGACACCTCCCAGTGGGAATGCTCCGGAGGACGCTTTTCATGTTTTCTTGTTTTTATTTTCTTTCTCTCTCTCTTTTTTTTTTTTGTAGAGAGGGGGCCACATTTTGTGGCCCAGGCTGGTCTCGAATGTCTGTCTTCAAGCAATCCTCCCACCTCAGCCTCCCAAAGTGCTGGGATCACAGGCGTGAGCCGCTGTGCCAAGACTTCTCATGTTCACTCATCACCGTGGTACCCCGCCATCAAGAGAGCTCAGAAGATGGCATCTTAGCTAGAGGCTAACGAGGAGTACCAAATACAGAGACACAGCAGCACGCTCCTCCTCCATCCGGGCCAGGTACTGGGCGTTACCCTCTGTACAGAAGGGGGACAAACTAACACGATCTCCGCCCTCAGGGCACTCCCTGCGCAGCAGGGACCAGGAGGTGAAATGGCCATAACAAGGTAGGCAGACAGGTAAGGGCCGGTTCTGACGTTACAAACACCACCAGCATGAAACACAAGGGCAGAAGCAGAGAGGTTTTCCCAGCTAATCGCTGCTGCCCCAATTCCTCTGACAAGCCAGCACTTGCCATGGCCCCAGAAGCCATCCAGGCATGTGGCTCCTGCCTACAATTCCATAGCTTTGGGAGGGAAAGGCAGGAGGATCGCTTGAGGCCAGGAGTTGGAGGCTGCAGGAAGCTATGACTACACCACTGCACTCCAGCCTGGGTGACAGTGCGAGACTGTCTGTAAAGAAAAAAAGAAGACCAGGCATGGTAGGTCACACCTGTAATCCCAGCACTTTGGGAGGCCAAGGCAGGTGGATCACTTGAGGCCAGGAGCATGAGACAGCTGAGGCAACATGACCACACCCTGTCTCTACAAAAAATTTAAAAACTAGCTGGGCATGGCGGTGTGCACCCGTAGTCCCAGCTACTTGGGAAGCTGAGGCAAAAGGATCACTCGAAGCCAAGAGGTTGAGGCTGCAGTGAACCACACCTACCACCACCGCACTCCAGCCTGGGCGACAGAGCAAGGTTAAGGGAAGGGAAGGTAAAAGGAACAACGTAAGGTAAGGAAAAAGGGAAGGGAAGGAAAAAGGAAAGGAAAGGAGGGAGGGAGGGAGGGAGGGAGGGCAGGAGGCGGGCAGGAAAGGAAAGGAAGGACAGAGGGAGGGAGGGAGGGAGGGCAGGAGGCGGGCAGGAAAGGAAAGGAAGGACAGAGGGAGGGAGCGAGGGAGGGCAGGAGGCGGGCGGGCAGGCAGGTGGGCAGGCGGGCAGGCAGGTGGGCAGGCGGGCGGGCAGGCAGGTGGGCAGGGGGGGGGGGGGGTGGGCAGGGGGGGGGGGGGGGGGGCCCACAGCCTGCTGATACTGCCAGCCAGCTGATCACTGTGTCATGTGCCCAGGCATCTGGGCTCTTGTGAATTGAGCATTTTCCAAAAGGAAAAATGGTCATGTGTGTGTTCCCAATCCATCTGTTCATGCCTGTTTTGCTTATCAATGTAATTACATAATTGTTTATTATTTCATGGATGGTATTAAAAGTGGTTTTAAAAAATTTCTTTTCTTTTTAGTCCATTTACACTGCCATAAAAAAGTGTTATTACTATGCAAACTAACTTCAATATCTTGAAAAACAATTAAGGATGAAAAGGCCAATTAATTTAGATAAAACAATTGTAATATATTTGAAAAATCATTTAAATGAAAAGAGGATATGTCCCACCACAAATCCAGTCTGTGTCCTGCGGCGCTCACAAAGGTGAAGTGTTCAGCGCAAGCCCGGCAGGCAGTGGGCTCGCAGCAGACGCGAGTCCTTATCATCATATTGGTTATCATTACATAAGCAAATGGGGGGATCAGAGCCTTGAAGGCAGGAAAAAGGCAGCGGAAGTGGGGGACACCACAGATGGGGTGGGCAAGGAAGGCCTCTCGCGGTCAGCACACTTCTGCTGAGAACCAAAGAACAGAAAAGCAGCTGGGCACAGCGGCGGGAACCTGTAGTCCCAGCCTACCCAGGAGAATGGGTCTGCGACATATCTGAGGAAGAATTAACAGGGCGGGTGGGTGGCCAGGAGGAGATGGAAATGAGGTAAACCGTATTGCATTCATTAAGACAAACGTGTGTGGACGGGAGAACAACCCACTTTCTGCAGTGGATGAGTTGATAACCTCAGTCTGTGGGTACATGAGGCTGGGGGAGGAAGAAAGGGAAGGTCGGGGTGGGCACACATTTGGCAGTCACCAGCATGTGGCTGGTATTACAGCCTCGGGGGAGAGGATACGGACAGCAGCAGGCCGGGCACGCCGGCAGTCACCTGAGGGCCAATCACGATGACTGTGTGTGAGGCGGGTCCTGGGAGGACATACAGTCAGGCCTCTGTATCCACCATGGACCAAAAATGTTCAGAGGAAAGAAAAACAACATAAAACAACAATACGAAATTTTAGGCTGGGCATGGCGGCTCACTCCTTTAATCCCAGCACGTTGTGAGGCTGAGGCGGGAGGACGGCTAGAAACAAGGAGTTCGGGAGCAGCCTGGGGAACATGGTGAAAACCCCGTCTCTACAAAAAAATGCAAAAGTTAGCCAGGCATAGTGGCGAATGCCTGTAGTCCCAACTGCTGGCGGCTCAGGTGGGAGGGTGGCTTGAGCCTGGGAGGCTGAGAATGCACAGAGCCAAGACGGCGCCACTGCGCCCACCCCGGATGACAGAGGATGACTGTCTCAAAACAAACAAAACCCAAAAGCCAAAAAACGAAAAACAGCATTTACAATACAATTAACCTAGACTTAAAGTATGCAGAAAGATGTATACAGGTTAAATGCAGATACTATGCCGTTTCATATCAGGAACTTCAGCATCCATGGATTTTGGTATCTGCAGGGGATTGGTTCCACAGCTGGCTTTTTCTTTTTCTTTTTTTGAGACAGAGTCTTGCTCTGTTGCCCCGGCTGGAGTGCAGTGACAATCTCGGCTCATTGTAAACGCTGCCTCCCAAGTTTAAGTAATTCTCCTGCCTCAGCCTCCCGAGCAGCTAGGATTACAGGTGCATGCCACCATGCCTGGCTAATTTTTGTATTTTTAGTAGAGACGGGTTTTCACCATTTGGTCAGGCTGGTCTCGAACTCCTGATCTCAGGTGGTCCATCCACCTCGGCCTCCCAAAGTGCTGGGATTACAGGAGTGAGCCACTGTGCTAGGCCGGACCATCTATTTTAAAGCTCTAGGTACATCAGGGTTGAGAGCCACTGATTTGGAAGCTCAGAGGAAGAGGAAAAAGAACTGGTGAAGGAGGCTGGAAAGACTATCGACAGAGACAGGAGGGACTCTGGGAGCAAGTGAGGCATTGGATTTTTTTCTCAATCAACGCTGCTTAACTGCTCCCAGAAGGGAGCTGTGCTGTGGGCTCTGCTCAAGGCCAAGCAGGATGAGGGGACACGGGAGCCTCCAGGCACAGTGGCGGGGGCGGGCAGAGGGATTCCAGTTAAACCCCATGCCAGATACTCTGGGTCCTCAGGCCTTATTTCTTTTTCTTTCTTTTTTTTTTTTTTTTTTTTTTTGGAGACGGATTTTCACTCTTGTTGCCCAGGCTGGAGTGCAACCGTGCCATCTCGGTTCACAGCAACCTCGGCCTCCCAGGTTCAAGGGATTCTCCTGTCTCAGCCTCCCAAGTAGCTGGGATTACAGGCACCCGCCACCACGCCAGGCTAATTTTGTATTTTTAGTAGAGATAAGG